CACTTTAATTTCAGGACTTCGCCAATTTGAAGCTCCCAATATTCACTGCTCGTCCTGATCAAGTTGAACTTGGTATTCGTATATGCTATCAGGAAGCACAGAACAAGCTGAGAGATCAGAAGATTGACTTACTGCTTGCGATTCTGCCGGATGAAAATGGTGATTTATATGGTTTATATGGTAGTGTAGTGTTTATGACGGAAATATTAAAAGGATATGTGAGACAGATATCGGTCTCGTGTCACATATGCTTGGAGTGTGATTCTAATCACATAATGCTGTAGATAAAGAATCTGTCACACACAAGTATATACTGCGCGTCTTGCTCATATGCAACTATTTCCCCAAAGTACTTTGTTTTTGCTGGTACTTAACATTTGATTAACACAACATATATGTGTGCCATATGTGTTACTCTACTTCCCAGTGAGAATGTTACTATATTTCTTCTGTTCTACTACTTTCTAATGGTTACAATAGTATTATGAAGCATCACATGGACTTAAGATTTTGTGTAAGCACATTTTTATAATTAATTATCGTGCTATATTACATTGTCTTATTTGTTGTTCTTCTAATTATATAAAATAAGCCAAAATTATACTAATCCTGACTCTCGATATCCTTCTCTTCTAGAAAATGTGTGCTTTAACAAAAATGACACAATACCATAAAGAATACAGTACGAAAGAAATGGATGTTGCGATTGATGTATGTGAGAATATGGAATACAACTTAGCATAGTGCAGATACATAAGTCGCTTGCTCCTGCTTTTATTACGTGTTTCCTATATATTATTCTAATTGCTACCATGTTTGCAATTTTTTTTGCCATGGCTACATGTTGGAAAATATATGCTTTATATTTTCTACTAGAAGAAGAATACACTTATCATGATTGACTCTAGACCTATTGAAAAATGGTGTAAAGACACACCAGCACTGATGTATACCAGGCAAACTCTTGGAATTAACTTGCACATATTCCTAGATGGAACGAGGATATCTTCAAATAGAAATTCATCTATGAAAAAAACATTGCAGATGACATAGATGGGTAATTAACTCAAAGTTACCGTAGCTTGCAATAATAATACCTATGATTTAACTATTTCTATATATTGCTGATGGTCAATCTTACCACAGACACTCAAATGGATACTTTATTCTATAGTATATGTCTGCGTGGAATAAATCTAAAGCCACACATATTTATACAGTGAGTATAATATACTTTGTTTTAAGATTTTGTGAGACATTTTTAAGACACGTAGTATTACCCATGTGACAGGCACTAATATTTACATATATATTCGAACATGTGTACAGGATGGTATGGATATGCGGCGGAACTTATTCGTGAAATTATTGGCGCACAAAAGAAATGGATATCGGAGATTTCTTTCTGCCGATATAAAACATTATCTTAGTCGCATCATAGAAAGGTCAATACAGTAGAGTTTGTATGCCTATGACGCCACGCTCTCCATGACTATGTTAATTTTATGAACTTTGCTTTTTTAGATTAAATGTCACTTTAATGCTGGTATTTATTTTCACAGTATTGTTATCTTATCGTGCGATCTGTGTGTTTTTAGTATAAAAGTTTAGCTGTCCCGTAGCAACGCACGGGCACGTTACCAGTCACAGCGTAGAAGGAAAAACCCTAGCAGCCTTCGTCCGTCCCAGACACGCGACACCATGGCCGCAACTAACGGCGGCGGCAGCGGCCCCGTCCCCGTCCCCGGTCCGATCTCAGCCGAGGCGGGGGCGGCGCTTAGAGAGGCTATCCATCTTGGTTAATCCTGTATTGTTTGTGATAATGGTTCTGCACCCCATACAGGTTAATCGTGGACTGTTGTATACTTGGGTGGCAATACCTCCACCATCTCACCTCAAGCTGTTTGACATTTCTGTTTTAGGGTTTCTTTGCTTCAGCTCTGATGTCATTTGTGTTAGCGAGCTGATGCCGCTCATGTTTTACTCATAAGTACCTTCACGATCAAATGTGTTCTCAATTAAATTGCTTTATGGCCTGCGTTATAAAGTTTTGGCTTATTGAATTTGTAGGTAATTAAATCTATATAGCTCGCCACTGCGTCGAGGTAATCTACCATCATAAGGTATGCTCTTGTCATAGCGCTTTTTGTTATTACTGAATTTTCTTCAGGCACACCTTATGTGTCGACACCATATATGTGGATCCTACTGGTTTTTCTTCATGCAACATGAAAGATTTGTGGCCTGGTTCAGTGTGCTCATGCTGAAGAGAAACCTCAAACCTGAGAAATGCAACATGAAACCTATAAAATGCTTTACTTGAACGTTCCTGCTTATTTGAGTACTCAACCTATTTTGATTTCTTGCGACGATTTCCAATATTATGCTAAAGCTGTTTCTAGCCAGCTGGATATTCTGAGTTTGTATCTAAAGCCTGAGACTTGAGTAAAATGTGTCTAAACCAAATTAGTTGTTTTATATTTTTTCTTTAAAACTCTGAAGACCAATATATATGTGTAATGTTTTCTGTTTCTAACTGTATGCAAAGTCTAATGAAAAGAATTTATTCACATCTGATTCCAGGAAATATGTTGTGAAGGAAACAATGCAAATCCAAGGTAGCTGAATAACTACCTTGACCTCTCTTTCTTCCTGTTTGCTGTATGGTATACGACTAATTCCAATGAATCATTATTAGGCTAGGTGAACCTGAATGAATGAGTAAATGAAGGGAGAGTTGCAGTGCAGGTTGTGTGCGGAGTCAGAGTATTTGAAGGATCAATGACATTAATGTGGTCATGTTTCCGAAATCCAAGTCTGCGCTGGAGGGGATCTCAGCACCAGAATTGTTGATGATGCGGTTGTTTCCTACTTATCATATCTCTCTCTGCTTTTCTCGCATGATTCTGGATGTAAGTAGTGACAGTCGGCGTGTCCTTGATATTGTTTAACCTCTAGATGACCACTTTTGAGCTGTCATAATTTTAGAGCATGCCACTTAGGTGTCGTTCAAATACTATATCATTTGCCTGATCGTAAAGAATATTGGAACCATTTACAATATGCAAGAATATCTGAATTTTGATTTTATGATACATGATATATTATTTGTTATTAGCAATGTGATTTCCATTGTTACATTGGGCATATTCTCATATCTTAGGCTCTATCATTATATGAGGAAAGTTAATCTCCGTTGTTATTAGTACATATGAATTTTAATTCATACTATGCATGTGGCTTACATGAGCTTTTTCCATGGATATGGATTGGTGGGCACCATGGAAGAGACCTCAGGCTCCATTGATGTTCTGAAGCTTGTCTTTGATTCCCTGTAACTCTTTCAGCGCATTGCTTTGCATGCCGTCTATCCATGTAACCCCTGCGCATAAAATTGAAGTATCATATCTACAATCTAGAGAAAACCACTTTCTGTTATGATTCAGTATAAACATATAGTATCTAAATGTTTTTCATTTAGAATTGACTGTTGACTAAACACTAACAACGTTCATTCCAATGCAGTATATAACCACAACCACGGAGCTATTGGAATAGTCCAGAGCAATGACTACCAAGATGTATTTTTTTTAACCTGGAAATTCCATTACTCATCTACCATAAGGTCGGCAGTGACAAAAACATTTACAGAGTCTAGGATGGAGCTTGAAATCAGCTCTTCCCCTTCAAAACACGCATACCCCAACTCAGCCAAAGCATGAGCAACTCTATTACATTCCATTCACTTGAATAAACAAACAAAAAAGGAAAAATTCACAGAAGCTCGCGACTTCAGTTCTTGCACCAGCCCTCCTTTAGGTTTTGCACAGAACGCCTCTACTGCCAACTCTTGCTGGAGTGTGAGCGCATTGGTCTCCAGGGTTAGTCTGCTAACCCCCAAGTTCAGTGCCGCTTGGACACCTTGCAGAGCTGCTATTACTTCAACATGGAAAGCACTCAGCAAATGATTGGCGTAGTAGTGAAAGTTTTTTTGGAGTACTAGAAGATATTGTAATGTGCTTGGCTATTTGTGACAGCTAATGTTTCTCAATGATCCATTATTTTAGGAAAAAAATAAGAATCGTCTTCCATAGTAAATAAAATTGTGGAAGATAGCCAATAGCAAGAGTAGAATGACTTCCTCATCACACTTAGAGAATCATTTTTTATAGCAGTCAAACATTAAATATGAAGGGTGGCCTTGGTATACGAGTCTTGTACGAAGCAAAATGATAATTCAAAGAGATGATTAGTTCTAAAAGGTTGAGGAATCAATTAATCTTGTTATGATGATATGAACTTTTATGTGCGTATGCACAAATGTACAATACTATAAATGCATATTGCAATGATTGCAAACCATCACTGAGAATTTTAGCCATGCACAAAAATCAATTTGTAATATTGATATTCCGAACATCACGCACGCATTATCGTTTTTTTTAACAATACAACACGTTCATGCTCAAATTATCAGGGCATTATTTGTTCCTGTTGCAACGCACGGAAAGGTCTATACGGTAGAGTTGGTGAGCCTACGACGCTGCCCTCTCCTTGACTGTGTTAATTTCATGAACTTTGTTTTTTTTATTTAAATACCACTTAAGTCGGTATTTAATTTCACTTATTGTTATCTTATCATGCGATCCGTATGTTTTTAGTACAAAAGTTTAGTTATCCCGTAGTAACGCACGGGCACGCTACCTAGTCTTAGTAAAAATTGTGGAAATGCTGTGGTGTCGGCGTCCTTCCGTCCGGATGCCATGTTTTTAGGCCTCGTGTTATCAGGCCAATAGATCTGCTCCTCTCTACCTTCATTCTTTCATGGTGGTTTCTCCCCAAAAAAAAGGCAGCGACATTTCCCCACTCATACGGCCGTCGTGGCGTTCCACTCGCCTTCTCCCGCCGCTCGTCTTCTCCAATGGCGACCACCTCCGCTTCCTCTGCCCCGGGGCCCTCGCCCGCCTCAACGACGCCAGGCTCCGCTATTGGAGTCGCGCCTACAGCCCGCCCTTGCCCTCATCGTCGAAGACGGCACCGACATCCTCCTCGTCACCCCCTCCTACGGCTGGAGACGACGAGGGCATTGTGGCCATGCCGTACTTCGCGCCTGTCTCGAGGCTCCTCGCGCCCCGGTGCCCCAGCGGAAGAAGCTCGGGGCGGCCAAGCCCCTGGTGCTCTTCGCTCTGCCACCTCGTAGCCTTGATCTGCCCATCGAAGCGGTTATCGAGTTCCTCAACGCACATGACATGGTGGTCGCCGCCCACTAGAGTGTCGCGCATGACATGTTGCAAGCGTATGTTTCAAGTGTTTTAAATGTTCCAAAGGTACATTACAAGTGTTTCATATGAACGTTGCAAAAGTAGATCGGGATGTTGCGTATGTTGCAATGGTTATACATGTATGTTATAGCAGTATGTTTCAAATGTTTCATTAATTTTTTCAGACGTAAGTTGCAAGTGTGTTTTCCGGATATTGCATATGTTTCACAGATATGTTTGTAAGTGTTTCATCTGGGTGTTCATATGTTTGCAATGGCTTTCAAGTGTCTTTTAGGTGTTTTGTAAGTGTTTCAGACGTATGTTGCAAATGTTTCATCTGTTTTGGACGTATGTTGCAAGTGTTTTATCTGGATGTTGCAAAAATAAATCGGGTGTTGAATATGTTGCAATGCGCGTGAGAAGCGGAGGGAGCGCGAGTGGTCCTCGCAGGAGGGTCAGGTGGCGCGGGCGACGTGGACGGTGAGGGCCTCGGGGAACGCAGGCGCAAGTGTGGAGTCCGCCCACCCAACCCCGCAGGGAGCTCTCCGCGTCCACCCACCATGGACCTAGCTCATGCAGCCAGCGTGGACCTCGCTCAACCGCCACGCTCACTCGCCGCTCACGCCGCCACATGAGAAGGAGAATGAAAGGAGCAGTGGCGTGGGTGCCGAGGTCTATGGCATCGGTGCTAGGTACCTGGCGGGCATATGAGCCGCAGCAGCACGACGTTCAGCGCCTTCCCAGACTCGTCCTCCGCTGTCAGCTGCTCGTGAGCTCGCGTCGCCACCTACGAACTCAGCTGCGTTGAGCGACATGCAGGAGTTCGTCGTGCTCCTCTGTGCCTGCCCCACCTCAACCTGTCGCCGTGGAGAGGACACGGCTGTGCGGCGAGGGCGAGGCGCCCGTGCTCAACTGGAGCTACTGGAGCCGGAGGAAGGAGAGGGAGGGAATGAGTGGGTGAGATGCAGGCCAACGTCCTACGTGGCGGTAAACGCCAGCGTGACGTGGTCAAAACCACTCAACGTCGGTCAAAACAGCCTTGCCCCCACCCAGGTGCTAAAAGTAAACGGTTTTGACAGTTGGGGTACCGGTACTAGACGGTTTTATAGTTGATGGTTAAAATTAGACCAACACAATAGTTGAGAGACCAAAAGTGAACTTAATCCTTTATTTTAATGTTTAGCTCTAGGATCCAAACATACCCTTAAACGCTGAGTTAAAACAAGGATAGTAAGCAAAGCAACCGAATTCCTTGTACTGCTGCAAGATATCAGGATTTGAACCTATGGAAGCTCGTGAAATTTGAAACAAAATCGTAATTTCTTTTCCAACATTATACACTCTATACCCTACATTGTGCAGTTACAACAGCCATAGCTTCTAAAAGAACAAGAGGCAGCCATCTCCTCACCTTTGGAACAACCACAACTCAAAACTGGCATACTAAACAACACGTCGAGCTATCAACATTCAACATGTACATACAAAAGTCACCACAATGAAATATAGAATGCACCCAGAACTCAATCATCCAGCTGATCATTCGTTTGTGCGATCGACCACGAGCCCTTGAAATAACCGGCAGACTGGAGGGAGAAGTCCGACACAGCGTGGAACAGCTCCGGCAGGTTTGACCGGAGAAGATTGAGGGATTTATCCCTTACTACCTTACATTGGGTCTTATAACTATCTTCCAGGTCCTTCAGTGCATTCTCCACCTTATCTACCACGGCTTTCCGTTCAGCTGCTGGATCAGCACGTGCGGGATGGTCGCCATCAGGAATACTTGCTCCTCTGTCCCAATTTTTCTGTGCCCAGTCATCGAACTGCCTTCTCTTCTTCTCAAAGTCCCTCCTAGTCTCATCAATTTTCATCCTCAACTTCAGTTCTTCATCCTGGTGAACTAGGATTGTGTTCACAACTTCTGCAAATGTGTGTATAGCCTTTTTCGTTTCATTAACAGGGAGCTTCTCAAGGATATTATGCCAAGCATGCAGCAACCTCTTGATTGGAGGTGTGGTCTCATGTGGCTGTGACGAATTAGGCTTCAGGTTGGAATCAATAGGGATCACATTTAGCTTGATCCAGCTGTAGAGACTTCCTATGTACTCCTTCTGGTATGTCATGAACCTGTCAAACTGCACATGCCACTCCTGAACAATCCTCCACAACTGCAAAGTTCGGTCATGGTGTTGCCCACTTGTTTCCCGTGTAGTAACCGAGATATCAGAAGCTTTGAGCTCTGTAATGATCCTGAGCTGGGCTTTGTGGTGAGCGTACATGACATCCCACATGTGTGACAATCTGTCAGTGTGAAACAAAATAATTCGTTACTTGCAATATGCAGAAGTGCAACATTCACTTGGTAATCTGATTCTTCCATTAGATTTAGAAAAATCCCAAAAATGCCAGAGGGACAGGCATAGTTGGCATGGTTTCCATAGTACATAATAGAGTGTTAGACTGATGTTGGGTGGCCCAAGTCCTACTTTTCAGTGTCACAACTAGCAGAATATTTCCATAACTAAAATCATGCTGAGAAAATATGTGGAAGGTACACTATGAAAGATGTATAGCACTTCTTCATATGCTCCCTCCATTTCAAAGTACAAGGCTTAATTTGCTTTGTTAGGGCAAGCCTTTCACCAACAATAGTCATACAAATTTTTGAGACACAAAATTGATGTTCTTAGGTTCGTAATAAAAAACATTTATGACTAATTTTTGCGTCACATGAATGAAGTACCAATACAGTAATTGTCAATCAAAGCCTTGACCTAACGAAATATAATATGCCTTGTGAAAAAATGGAGGGAATAGTGATTTATGTAAAAGAACATCTTTCTATAATAAAAAAAAGATAACAATGTCATTTGATGATATAGATCAAGCTAGCAGGGAATCACTTGTTGTAATCGACTAAACAATGAAAAAAGAAATGAAGGTCCTACATGTAAATAACTAAAACAATGAGATGATAGCTACAAGGAAACCATATAACAAATGGAACAATAGAGGTTGGTGGTTGGTACTTAAAAGTTAAAAGACCTTACCCCTTCACTAGTTCAAGGAGTTTTGGGTAAAGCTGCTGATCTCTTAGGCGGTCAATTTCTGCAACTGTTGACTCCATTGTTTGTAAATCAACTATATATTTTGTGTGCAAGTGACTAACAATGGACTTGGTTTTCTCAATTGATGAAGAACTAACACCACGTTGCTTCTTTTTGTTAAGAACAGCTAGCTTTCGTTGATATGTCACTTTGATAACCTCGAACTCCTGAGACAAAGGTAAATATGTACCATCAAATGTATGAACAAAACAGGTTAAAGCAATGAAGTATAATGATGAAGCCCGGCACATGGGTGGGAAATGATAATGGACTAGTACAATGGTCCCTGACTTAATTAACAATAATATGACTACAAATGTCCCTGGACCAGTTGAGGAGTGTAATGATGAGAAGGTGACAAACAATTATCAAAGGTAAAATAACTGAGACATTAGTGACACCTTCTTCAATTTTTGTGAAAATGAAACGGCATGTATGCATGGTTCTTGATATCAACGCAAATAAAACTGAAGAGAAAATGTATGAGAAACCAATAAACAACAAAATAAATCATTTTTTTCTTTTTGGTGAAAGAACACATTGAAAAATGTGTGCTTCTAAGAGAGAACGATTGAAACAGTTTATGTTCTAAACTACTGAATAAGATTTACATATTTTACCTTCACTTCATGGCATAGTTTTTTCTCCCATGCAAGCAACTTATCGAGTACGGTAGCATGTGTTTCCCATTCATCATCATCCAACTCATTCTTCACATTTTCTGGTTGGGGGATCCCTTTAAATGAGTGATTCCAAGTGATGACTTGCATCACTCTTGCAGAATGATCCACAAATACTAATAAGACAAAAGACATGCCATTAACTGAAGTAATATAAACAGATACACCATTCATATAGACTATTCCACATGCATATAACAACTTTAGCTGTACCCCGCAAAGACAAGCAAGATATAGACTGCTCAACTGAAGTTTAAAAGAAATCATAGAGTGAAGATAATCACCGCCTAAGTGTAGCCCCAATGCCATCTCGGTCCCCAAGAAAACCATACTTAATAAACATTCCCCTGTGCCTCACTGAACCACGTTCCATTAAAAACACAACATCCACCTCAACAAAGGCATAATAGGAACACATAATAGAGCCAGAATACTATCCCTTTTAAATAATTAACAATGCAGTCAAGTAAGGCACTCAAATATTAGACTATCATGTGGAACAGTTGAACTCCTCCAATAAGTATCAAGCAAACCATATGCTATCTATCTTGCACTTCTCCCAAGAATCTTGTGTATCGTGTTTTGAAGTTTATTATGGCTCTATGGTGTATGTACGAGTGTTATGCAATGTTTGTTGAGCATCTTCATCCAAGAAAGAATTTATTAATTATTAAAGAAACTTAAAAAGGATTCGTCTTTCCTGTAATCCAATCGAACTCTAGCTCAGAGGCTGGGAGCAGAGCAGGCATGGAATGGAAGGTACCTCGCTTCTCAGCGAAATTGGAGTGATAATGAATCCTCGCTGCCTCCAACAAGTTGGACACCTCGTGCGCGCTCTGGGACGCCTTGAGGAAGTGATCGTCGAGCTTGCGCAGGACGTCGCCCAGCCTCGCCGTCTGCGGCGGCACCATGACGACCCTGCCCTTCTTGCCCTCCGGCTTCCTAGCTGCCTTCTGCGTCGCCGCCCGGCGCGTGACGAGCTCCGCCGCGGGCTTCTTTCCCTCGGCGATCTCCTCGGCAGTCGGCACCGGCTGCGGCTGCTTCGGAGGCTGTTGGTCGGACTCGGGCGGCGGCGGAGGCGGCGCGGGAATCCTCCGCTCGGCCGCCCACGACGACTCCGCGGCGGCGCTGGCGCTAGGGTCCAGCGTGGGCGGCGGCCCGGGCATGGCGTCGTGGGAGCCGAAGAAGAAGTCGTTCCACGAATCCCCCGCCGCCGTCGCCCGCTCGCGGT